CCTTTACCAGAGAAGTAGTAGACTATGAGTACATGTTGTTTCATATGCTATCAGATATAATTGTTTAGTCACCTTTTTTTGCTCATTTGTTTTTCTTCTTTATTAAAATATAATGGAGATAGGGGAGTACTGAGAAATGACATTGACATAATTATCCAGTAGTGTGACAAGCACATAGTAGGCACTTAATAAATGCTTGTTGAACTGGATGAACTGAGTTCAATAAAAAAAAGCACTAATAAAACATTTTAAAGATCAATGCATCCAGTGTGAAAAAAGGAAATAACTATTTTTGGAAAAAATTGCTGTAAACATATCTGATAAATCTAATAAGTTTTGACACTTATTTAACACAAATAAGAATAATTTCCCAATAGATAAATGGTCAAAGGATATAAATAAACAATTCTTAAAAGAAGCAACACAGATTACCAATAACCACCAGAAAAACTGTTCAAACTTTCAATTATAAGAAAAATGCCAATTAAGACATCTTTGAAATCCCGATTTACACCCACTAAATTGGTAAAGACAGTTAAAAAAAAATTAATGCTGGCCTGGCTGTAGAAAAAGCCGCCCACTACCAAACTGCTGGCAGAAGCATGCATTGTTATATTTTTATAATATAGAGTTATACAATAACATGGATACAGCTTTCCATATCCTTTGACCTAATGATCTGACTGCTTGGCTTATAATCCAAGGATGTTATTGACACCTGTAATGGAAGTCAAACCAGGGGACTGGCCACAGTTGACCTTTCTGCCTGACTCAGTGCTGAGGAGGCTGGTGCTTTGGTATGACTTGGAAAACACTGGATGATCCTTTACTCCCTCTCCCTGCTTAATGCAGCTTCAATTAAAAAGTAGAGAAAATTTCTGACTCCCTCTCTTGGTTTGACTGACCACGGTGGCACTTGACTCCCTCTGAGGGTCTGGAGGGCTGAGTTACCACTCTATGTGGTGTATGCACTCAACTAGGCAAGCTTTCTTCTAGGCCGCAGCTGCCTTTTCCACTTCGTATTTGCTTTCCTCAGTAAGTGACCAAACATCTTTTTTTAAAAAAATGTAACTTACCTTTAATGAGAGAATTTGGTACATAAATATTAACAAATTAAAACCTAATATAAATTATTTCATTGCACTATTTTATTTTTCTGTGGTACATAAATGCAAGCATATTTTGGTCTATAAACAATATTAAAATATAACCTTGATTAATTTGAATGCTTAGGGTATGGGTTTGTGTAACTAACAGCTAACCTTTTTGGTTTAATTCTTCTGGGTAAAAACCTTTAAAAAATATAACAGTTCACTTTTCTGTCTTAATATTACTGTCTTTGCTAAGCTAACCATATTGCGATGGCTAGAAATCTTGCTGTGCCTTAGTCATCATTCAGAACAATCAAATCTACCTTTCTAATGTCATGTATAACTTTACAATACCAGAAACATCCCTCAGAAAATACTCGTGGCTAGATAAGTTGCATTTTTTCCAAACAAGTCGTTTGCCTTTTAAATGAGCATTAGGTCAGAAACAGGAGCATCATGGGATCATATAACTGAAAACAACTCACAGAAAATGCATAGAAAACTAATTTATATATTTGCCAAACACAGATATGTGCACTAGTTTGCAGAAGGATTCCTGATCTGGACGTATCTGGGCTTGCAGATGACCCTGTGAGTTTGAGAAGTCTTGAGTCCATTAGGAGCAAGGGAGTTTCTTAGTCTTCACGGATTGCTAGAACACATCAGCTTTGAGGGAGACCATGCAGAGCAACAGAAAAATATAAAATGCTGAATCATTTCTCTCTTGGCCTTATTCCCAACTTAATGGATTTCAGAACCAAGCCTCTTCTGCTAGCTCGTCCTGAAACTTCTATCACCATTTGGTGGCCCCTTGCCTTGGGAACATCCCACCTACCACTGTTGTGGCCCTCTCACCACCGTGATAACCCTCTATAAGACCTGCCTCTCTTCTCCTATTTTTGCCACTGGTCCAGGCCAGCCCACCTTCATTCCTCTCCTGCCCCTTCAAAACCTTCCCCTTCTGGCCTTCAAAACTTGCCCTCTAATCTGTGTGCCTTTGTTCCCTCTTTTCTTCCCCTTACCTGAATTTTCAGCTCTTCCTTGTGTGTTGCCTTCTCTGCCCTCCCTCCCCCCATTTGAAAGTAAGCTCCTTGAGGGCAGGGACTGTCTTTTTGCTTGTATTTTGTACCCCCAGCACTTAGTACATAGTAAGTGCTTAATAAATGCTTGTTTCCTTCCTTATTTCATCATTGGTTCAATAAAACTTATTCATTGATTACAGGGCAATAGAATTATAGATTCAGAGATAGAAAGAACCTCAGAAGCCATCAAATCCAACCTTCTCATTTTATAGATGAAGCAGTGGGAAGTTAAGTAAGGCTAAGGTCACCGTACAAGTCAAAAGCTGCATTTGAACACAGGTCTTCTGACTCTAAAATTAGTGCTTTCTCTGTCTTCATGCTTAGATGGTTTTAAATATTTCAGTAGTCTATGACAGAAGCATATAGATGTGTTAACATTAATATATACATATAAATATATATATTTTTAAAAATGAGCTGTAAATAATAGAAGTATATATATGGTTTCATATAAACATTTAAAAATTCTTGCTTTTTATAACATAATAGGATGATAGGATTATAGTATCAATGCTGACTATAATAATTTTGTCCAAAAGTTAAAACAATATAAATTAATTGCTATAACAAGGAGACCAAAATACCCCAGAAAGCACTTTAATCAGCAAATATCTTACTTACTTGGCCAGCGGAGAGAGATGGCTGCCAAACGCTGTACTACGATAGACTTTAAACCATTGGTAAAATCTTACAGAGAAGGATAACAGATGATTTAAGCAGTGTTGTCTCATAAGGCACAGAGAGGCAGTGGAAGGTACACCTAGTTTAAAGAAAGCTTCATAAGGTATCCAACTAAGCAAAGTCATCCCAAGGGAATTTAAGGATGAAAAGAGTGCTACAAAGAGAAAAAAAATAAGAAAGATTTACAAAAATTATCATAAATTTTTTTTCCCCATCAAAGTTAATGGAAGCACCATATTTGAACCTTAACATCATTGTTACTGAGGTGCTTCCAGAGGAACTAGAAATGGCACTAAAGAGGGGAAAGAGGAAAAAGCAGCCAGATTTGGTCAAATATACATACAGGAATTCTGTCCCACAGGCAGTATTATCAGGGCAGTGAGGGACAGATTTTATAAGATATCTAAAAGAAGGGAAGATATCAAAGGCATGGGAAAAAAAATCTCAGAACTTATCAATATATAAAAAAAGGAGGATTCATTTCAAACATAAAGGTCTAATTTCTAATACATATAGGAAACTGATTTAAACATTTAAGAAAAAGAGACAATCCTGATTCATAAATGATCAAAGGATATGAATAGGCAGTTTTCAAAAGAAGAAATGTAAGCTATTAATAACTATGTTAAAAAAACACTCTAAATCACTAATAATTGGAGAAATCCAAATTAAACTCTGAGGTTCCACCTCACAATCATCAGATTGGCCAGTTTGACATGAATTATGCAAATATGGCCCCAGCCCTTCTACGTACCCCCCCATATATATATATATACATATATATACACATACATGTATATATGCATACACATATACCTGGAGACAGGCAGGATCCATCGAATCCAACAAGCCATTAATAAATAATTATAAAAGCAACTACAATAATAGCTAGCATTTATTAAGCACCTACTCTGTGCCTGGCACTGTACTAAACTCTTTACAAGTATTATCTCATTTGATCTTCACAACAACCTGGGAGGTAGGTGCCATTATGTTCCCTACTTTACAGTTGAGGAAACTGAGGTATACAGAGGTTAAGTGACTTGCCCTGGGTCACAGAGCTACTAAATATCTGAGGCTAGATTTGAATTTAGCTCTAATGAACTTGATTATAAGAGAAAAGCACAGGCATTTAAAAAAATAAAAAATAAAAGGGCATTGCCCCCCAAAACATAAAGGGGTGAAATCGCTCACAGATGTCTATGCCACTAAAGAGACACTCTGGATAGCTCGCACTCTCAGGTGTACTACTAGGAGTAGGGAGCTGGGCTCCCCATCTCTCAGCAACTGACTGGTGCCTCGCTGCTATTGGCTACTCCCAAAGCTGCTGTTTGCCGCATCTCTGAAAAGCTAGCTGGCTATGACTTGGGGCTGCTGCTGAGTTTCTTTTCTGTTGACCTACTGCCATCTGCTGGAGCTGTCTTTCATTGCTGGGGTTTCATTTTCTTTAAACGGAAGGTTAGCTTTCTTTTGTGAAACTGACCACTTAGGGCTAATTAATACATTTTCAACTCTTTCACTAGGTATGCCCACTGACTTAGATACCATGAGCATAGAAATAATAGCTAGCAACTAACTAGGTATTTTTGATGTGTATATATATATATATATATATATATATATATATATATGCATATGTGTGTGTGTGTATATACATATACATATACATATACATATACATATACATATACATATACATATACATATACATATATATTATGCATTGTTGATTCCTGTTAGAAGCACTTGTCAGTGACCTTCAAAAAATCATGGTTGGCTGGGGCACCTGGAGATACTAAAGGATTGGAGAAGGGTAAATATGTGGCAATTTTTAAAAAGAGAGAGAGAATAGAGATAACAAATTGTAGGCCTGTGAGCTTGATTTGGATTCCTGGGGAATTTCTAGAATGTGTCATGGTTAGTGAACATGTAGGAAAGGAAGAAGTGATCACAAAAAGCTGCCGTGTCTCAGATGGAGACAGGTACCACGTCTCTGTAGCTTCATCAAAAAACAAATGAATAAACAGAAATTTCTCTTCTGTCAGGGTTACTACACTCACAGAGCATGGGAATACTGTAAGATAAAGTCTGAATGGATTTTATGGAAGCATTTTTTCTTAAAAATAGTTTCTTACTTTTCTTACAGACAAGATGGAACTATTCATTTTAATATAATTGCCTTGGCCCCTTCCTTCCTGAAGATAAGGTAGGTTACATTTCATCCCTCCTCCAAGATTTTTGAGTATCTTAGGGGGCATTTGTGGTGTCCAGGCTGTCTGCCATTCACTTCAGCCCCTAGTAAGGGTTTTCCCTCAATGTAGGAGGTATTCGCTACTCCAGTTTGATTTAAACACTTAATGGATTAGCGTTTACAAATATTGACTTCAAAGGTATGATAACAAATATACAACCCTATTCCCCAGTTTGGGGGGCGTATAATCTGGCCTGGTACTACCTCTTAGAAGAGGAGGAGGATTAGGTTCACAGCTTGCCTCAGTTCCTGTAGAGCAGAGGCTGCAAATTATAGCTCATGGGCTAAAAACTGATAGCAGTTTTTGAATGGTCCATGAGCCAACAGTTTTTACTTTTCAGATAAATTTGCTGTATTCTGTTACATAATATGGTCCCAAGGTTATCATGCCTTGATTCTGGGTCTAGTGGGGATTCTGTCTCCTGCACCTAAAACTGAAAAAGGGGAGTAGCTGCATGGCACAGTAGATAGAGCACCGGCCGCGGATTCAAGAAGACCCAGGTTCAATTCTGGCCTCAGACACTTGAAACTTTCTAGCTGTGTGACCCTGGGCAAGTCACTTCACCCCATTGCCTCGACAAAAAAAAGAAAAAGAAAAAAATTAAAAAAGGTCATATGAAATAGAACAAACAAAAATTCCAATCTTGTTTTTCAGGACCATGTGGCCTAAAAAGGTAACCTTCAGCTTGCCCAGTCATTTCATGGTGCCTGCTCTGTGGTTGGACTTTCAGCCTGTATGGATAATACACAGGAAAGAGTGCTTAGGAAAGAGATTGAGACTGTGCCAGTCTGGTAGTTTTAAAGATGCAGCTTGTTCTAGCTACACAACCAATAGGAGGCTACTTGAATCTGTATAGTAGGGGGATGAAGGATGTTTTCCTCCAGAAGCAGGGTGCTTCCATGTTAAGTGATCTGTTCATGCTCTGAAGTCTTTGTTACACTAGGCAGTTCAGTTAGATATATTCAGAACTGGTTGAGTGCATAGAACTAAAGATTGATCATTAATGACACAATATTAACATCATTAATAATTCAGTATTAACATAAAGATTCAATAATATTGACTTCATTAATGATTCTGTATTCATGTGGAGTGGTCTTTAGTAGTGAAACAGGATCTGTGCTTAGCCTTGTGCTGTTTAATATTTTTAGCAATGAATGAATTAATAAAGCATTTATTAAGCGCTTATTAAATCTGCAAAGTACTAGATGTGCAAATAGAAAAATAAGCTATTAATCTGCTCTCAAGGAGCTCACATTCTAACACATGTGGAAGGTTTTAGCTTACAGTCACATGGAAAAGTCCCATGGTCTTTAGGATACAGATGTTAAAGTCTCTTTTTTACTGTCATTTCCATTGATAAATTCACACCACTTTCTGATTTGGCAGTGCCAAGGACTTTGGAGACAAAAACTTTCTTTTCTGGGTCTTGAGTAGGGATGCAAGAGCATTTGCCAGGCTGCCTTTCTATAGGGACTGCTTTCCATGGTGATGGCTGCAGGCACTGGGCTGCAAGCACTCTTCTCAAGGCTCTTGGTTCAGGGTCTTGGCATGTCTCCATCAAGGTCTGAGAGGAGGTGGTGGTCAAGGCGGTGATAATGGTTTGACTTGTCTGGCACATGCTGCCTCCTGTCTCTTCCTCAGATCATCAATGACTTGGAGAGAGGCACAGATGGGCTGCTTAATACCTGTGTATGTGACCTGATGCTATGAGGGATAAATAATAAATTGGATGACAGAGTCAGGATCCAAAAAGCTCTCCCTAATCTAGAACAGAGGTTGGCAAACTATTGTTGGGGTAAAGGTAGGGATTACATTACAAAAAATGTAATTAGCTTGCTGGTCATACAAAAGCCATGCTGTGGGCCAGATATGACTCGTGAGCTATAGTTTGCTTCCTCCTAATCTGGAACTCAGGGCCAAACCAAATAAGATAACATTTAATAGAGATAAAAGCCGTCTAACACTTGAGTTCAAACAGCCTACTTCACCAGCATACAGTAGAGGAGGTGCGGTCAGGCAGCCATCCATCTGAAAACAGATTCAGTATGAGGCAGCAGCATGATCTGGGCAGTGGGAAAACAAAAAACAGAAAACAACAAACAACTCCTGTCATCTTAGGCTGCACTAAGTAGCCTAACTGGGGGTGGGGGATGGGGCAGCAGAATTAAATCCAGGGCCAGGCAGGTTTTAGGCCCACTGTACTCTGACCTAGTCTGGATTATGGTCAGTTCTGTTTCCTCTATTTAGGGCAGGCCATGGATAAACTAAGGAGTACCCAAAGGAAGACAACTAGGATGGTGAAAGGCCTTGAGATCTTGCCTTTTATGGACTTGGTTGAAGGAGCTGGGATATTGAGCCAAGACAAAAAAAAATACACTTGGGGGAGGAGGGCAAGGATGATAGCTATTTTCAAGTGTTTGTAGGACCATGTCATGTGGAAGAGGGATTAGATTTATTCTAGCCAGAGGGCAGAACTAGTAACAAAGGATGGAAATTACAAAAAAGGCATATTAAAGTTTCATGTGAGGAAACATTTCCTTATCACAGTAGCCTGCTGGTTAGCCTCTTTGCCTTAGGTCTCTTCCCTCTCTAGCACATCTACTCAGCTGTCAAACTGATCTCCCTAAAGAGCAGGTCTGACCATGTTGTTGTTGTTTAATTATTTTCAGTCATGTCTTACTCTTTGTGACCCCATTTGGTGTTTTCTTGGTAAAGCTACTGAAGTGGTTTGCCATTTCCTTCTCCGGCTCATTTTACAGATGAGGAAACTGAGGCAAACAGGGTTTGGTCACATAGCTAATAACTGTCTGAGGCCAGATTTGAACTCACAAAGATGAGTCTTCTTGACTCCATGTCCAGCACTCTAACCACTGCACCACCTAGCTGCCCTCTCCTAACAATTAGGACTATCCGAAAGTAGAATAGGCTGTCTGTGAGGTAAAGGGTTGCTCCCCACTAGAAGTCTTCTTGTGTGGCTTGTGGTGTGCTGAAATTGTAGTCACGAAGACCTGGGTTCAAATCTTGGCTCTGACATTTGATGACTGAGTGGTCATGGGAAAGGAACAACTTCTCTGAGCCTCAGTTTCCTTGTCTTTAAATTGGGGGCAGGGTACTTATAGTACTTATTACACAAGGTAGTAGTAAGGTTAAAACAAGACATGAACATTACTTATTATTATTATTATTATTATTATTATTATTATTATTATTATTTTTGGCTAGGCAATGGGGTTAAGTGACTTGCCCAGGGTCACACAGCTAGTAAGTGTCAAGTGTCTGAGGCTGGATTTGAACTCAGGTTCTCCTGACTCCAGGGCTGGTGCACTATCCACTGCGCCACCTAGCTGTCCCCCGTCAGTTATTATTTTAAAAAGTGGAAGGCCACTTGTTATGCAGGCAGAGGGGAGATTACTTTTCAGGTATCAGCTGGATTAGATGGGTCTCATGTTCCCCTGATTCTGAGATTTTGTGAGTTCAAATAGCCACTGCCAAAGGAATGGCAAAGGAATGTTTGGGGAAACAATATCCATAAGAAAAAAGTCAGCTCTTTTCCTATCCTGTTACAAAATGAGTCACCCTTTCCGGTCACTCTAAATCTCCACTTCTGCAACCAGTTTCTCATTTCCATTCAGTGGAAAGAGTGGTGCATTTCGACAAATAGAAGACCAGAGTTCGAATCCTTACTCTAGCAATGACAACTGAAGTAACATTGGGTAAATTATTTCATTCACCTCCCTCCCCTCCTCCCCGTTTCAGTTTCTTCATATATTAAGTGAAGAAGTTGGATTAGATGACTTCTAAGGTTCTAACCAGCTCTATATCAGTGGTCTTTGTTTTTTTTGTTTTTCAGGTTGACCAACCATTTTATTTTCCTCTGATCAGTTCAGGAATGTTGATGGGGGCAGACAGTTCTTTACATAGGCTTTGGAGGCGGTCTGGGAGCAGCACCAGCAGGTCTGAAGCGGGGTGGGGGTGTCTGATCCTTTCGTGCCTCCCGGGACCGATTCCTCACTACCTTGCTGTGGATCGCGCAGCTCACACGGTAATGCAGTTTCACATACAGATTGGGCAGCACATAGGAGTAGAAGACGCTGGCCTCGGAGATGTCCCTGACGGCCGCGGCTTCCACGATGTTGCGGATGACGAACTTCTTGATGGCTTTGTCCTTGGGCACGCAGCGGGCGCAGTTGGTGCAGCGGATGGGCTGCACGTGGCCGCGGCCCTTTTTGGCGCGCCCGTTGCTCCTCCTCTTCTTGATCATCTTGAAAGCCAGGAACCGAGAATGGCTCAGTGGTCTTACTCTGGTGATTAAAAGAAACTCTGATGCCCTCTTGAGTTGGCCTTTTGATGATGCTTAAGTGAATTTTGCTTTGGATTTTTTGGAGGGAAAGGGACCCATTTTACTTTGGGGTAGCTCTAATTGTTAGCAAGTCTATTTGGTGGGAAGGAGAAACTAACCAAAGATTTTTAATCATAGGATTATAAGATTACAGATTTCAAGCCGGATGGTTATCCATACAACCCTGTCATTTTACAGATGAGGAACTGAAGCCCAGAGACGCTTGGTGACCTGTCACACAGTCACACAGGTACTGTCGAAATGATCAGAGCCAGAAATTGCACCATACTTTTCCTGACTCCAAATCCAGCTCCCTACTGTACCACACTGAATGTAGAAATAACAGGACTAGAATCTGTCTGTAAGGAATATTAATGTGTAGAGTTCTGAAGGATAGATTGGAGGGAGGAGAAAGTGGAGGCAGAAAAACCCATCAGGAGGTTATTGTGACAGTCCAGGTAGACAGTAATGAAGGGTCTCTACTGGGGTGGTAGCAGCGGGTAGCAGTTGGGGGGCACAGTGCATAGAGTGCTAGGTCTGGAGTCAGGAAGACTCATCTTCCTAAGTTCAAATCTGGCCTCAAACATGTGACGTTGGCCAAGTCACTTAACCCT